TAATCTTTGGCAAAATAGCTATGATCTGCGCCCTCCAATTATACAATTAAATTTTGGCGCCTCCGATGCAGTGATCTTTTGTTCAATCTTTTGTAGGTGAAAGATTGTTAGTGGTTTAGGGATTAATAAACATGTTATGATAAAATCTAAAAGCGGCTGAAGTTGTTTTTCTCTTTCCTTTACCTATATTTTATCCGTTTTGATGAAAATTGAATTTTAGGTTGTTGCAAGGGGATCAAAACTCCTGTAGCATCAATTTTATTCCAATTACGCATCGTGAACCATCTATGAATTTCAGTGGATTTGTTTCCTTATTAATATTATTTTATCATTATTATCATTATTGTTTATAGTACCAGCAGCAGCAGCAGCAGCAGTAGCACTACTATTAGTAGTAGTAGTAGTAGTAGTAATATTAATTGTAATAGTAATAATAATATTAATAGTAATAGTAATAGTAATAGTAATAGTAATAGTAGTAGCAGCAGCAGCAGTAGAAGTTGTAGCAGCATCAGCTTATCATAATTATCATTACTGTTGTTGCTGGTTTTTTTTTTTTTATTTTTTTATTTTTTAATTTTTTTATTTTTTTATTTTTTTACTTTGAAGCACAGTAGTTATTGTTATTCTGAGTTGGAAAAAAATGTATAGAAAGCCAGTTTAAATCATTTGGGCGGAGCCGCGGACAAAGTCGCCCCTCCCTCCCTCCCTCCCTCCCTTCCTCCCACCCCTCCCATATTTCGCCCGAGAAATGAATTTTAATCCCTGTATGAGCGTGGAGACAAGGTGGATGTGGCTATCCAATTCTTTTAGTTTTGTTTTCTTAGCCACGTACACATTTAATTTTTGGCCAACTACCGACTTGGCACTGTGAAGTATTTACTCACGTAATTCACCGCAGCGGTAAATTGGCTTATCCTCGACCCCTACTTTGACCCGCATAATCGCATCAAAAAAGAATGCATATGAGTGATCGACTAAAAAGAGGAAGGAAACTTACTTTTTTTTAATCACAAGACTCTCACAAGTACTTCCATTGAAAAAATGGATGACCTTGGAAGGTAATGGTATTTTTCCGATAGCCTTGGAAGTTGGTGGTTTTGGGGGCGCTCAATAAAAATGAAAGAGCGGCGGGGCATCGCGCCGTTCATGCTCGCATTAGGGACCTTAAGAAACCACGACGGCGACGGCAACGAGGACGTGTAAAAACAAGAGATCTAATTGGAAGAACAATAGCTCAGCTCGTGCGTTTTGAAACTTTGTACACTTCTTAGCCGTCCTATGCAAAACAACAACGTCAAATCGCCAAAATTTGCGTCGTCTGCGAACCGAAACCACGACGGCAAATTATTTTAATTTCCATTTGGAACTCAACGGCTACTTTATACGTCATGCTGAAGTTGAGCTGTGGCGCTGTATTAGACAGTAAGCTCCTGCAGCCATTTTTGAAATTCTAACTAAGAGTAGAAATTTATTTTTTTATCGAAGTCTTCCTTGGCGTCGCCGTCGTGGTTTCTTAAGGTCCCTATTATTCCGTCCCAGGGCCCTGGCGGCTTCGCCGCTTGTTCAGTCCTTGTTGCTGCTAAACGCCTCAACGGTATCGAACAGTACCATGTTACGGAACGGGCTAGTAATATATTTTTAGAATCAACTCATAGGTTTAATGCAACAGAAGAGTTCCATTCAGTGAAGCTAAAGGACAGTACGATTGGGACTATCGGCAGTTTAGGTTGAAGCTGCAAAGCACGCGAGCAGGCGAGGACTACCACACTACTGACTATACTCCTTGCAGATTGCAGACCTCTAGCTCTAGTCATCCCTCTTTGCTCAAGACCTTATACTTCTTCGCGGCTGGCGACATCCTCGTGCCGCAGAGCTAATAATCACGGCCCGTTCGAGCTCGTAAGCTAGGCACTGGACACCCAACCTGCTTTGTAGTTTCGAGTGCAAACGGCCAAAGAGAGAGCGCCAAAGAAAAATAAAAAAAAAAAGAATAAGAAAAAAAAAACGATGATTCAGGGTTTTGAGGGAGTATTGAGCAATATAGCAGATATAAAAGAGCGGGTGAGGATCCGATGAGGATAACGAAATACGTTGGAGAAGAAGTAAATATGAAAAAGGTTTTTGATCATATTTTCAAAACCGCTTGAAACGCTCGGCTTAACCCAAGTGGAAGTGACGGAGAATGTTTAATAAATTTTCCGTTTCTTTGACTTGGGTTAGGCTGCGTGAGAAAGCGTGGTTCGATCTCACATAGCAGAAAAAAACGACATTTTGCTTTTCTGACTTTCCCCAGTAAACGCTCAGTATAAAAGCGCCCGAAATGCAGGTATTACAAATAAAGTATTGATTTGCAATGCAATGCTGATAACGGAGAAGTCACAATCACGCATTGAAAACCCACTGTCTAGAAGTTTGTGTGTATTGTAATTTCGTAATAGGAAAACATACCAGAAATTACATGTACTTCTGACGAAACGTGCGTTCTCAGCGGGGTAGCCAAACGGTAGGTTAGGTTGAAGTAAACAAAGAAGGATCGAGATAGACTGGGGTCGAGTAAAACCGTTTATCGATATTTACTTTGAAAATACCATTATGTGATTGGCCAATGCACCGTTGAGCGTCAATCAACCAAATTCAAACTTGAAATGGGATCCACTTCGAAGCACAGCGAGTAGAGAGGTCGACTCACACAATTCCAGGAGTGAGATTTCGAGCATTCTGTAGTCAACATTCCTCTGTAGTTTATCGCGAGAGTTCTATTCCTTTTAGATTTCTCTTGGGAGAGTTAGTGAGCAGCGAGTTTAGTTCTCAAAAAGTGGCGTGGTTAAGATCTTGATATTGAGTGTAATCGTAAATTTCGTTCCAATACAATTGAGCTTCGCCTTCGAATCTCAAGGTTTCAACGTTCATTTCAAGATGCCTTCGTCCGCTTTTCCTCCACAAGTTACAAAGCACTATGAACTGAAACAAACCATTGGAAATGGTAGGTGGCTGTGTTATTTTAAGATGTTGAATTGATTGAAGGAATTAACTTGTGATTCTGCAAATATTATCCGTCTGCATCAAGCAGCCGGTCGATGGTCCAAAAACCAAACTACGTTCGGGTTCATCGCGTTCTTCACGGCTTGTAAATTCGAAAGGAACGAGTTTCCCTTGAGCTTTCCTTGATTGTCAAGTTTAAAAATCAAGCTGATCTCTCTATTCTTCAACGCTTTCTCATGAACGATGTGAACTGGGCATGTATTGGATCTTTTGTTTTCTGTAATATTTTCCGCGAACGTTGGTGTATACTACACAGAATGTTAATCTAACAAGAATCCTCTTTGCCTGACTTGTCAATTAGGGCTGTCTTTATTTTATATATTATTGTGAGTTGAGAAAGTTCTTGCTTTAACTGCTGTTTCGGCTTTGGCTGCCGGGAAATCTACGGAACGTGGGCGACTAACATTTGTCCTGGTAAGCCAATACTTGAGGTTGAAATTTCGCTGTTCGTCAAGAGTCATTTAATCGAGTGAAATAATAAACTGATCTGAGACTGTACTTAAGACTATTTGCTTTTGTTAGATCTGAAAAAAGCCTTGTCTAAATACAGCTGTATGTGTGGGAGATATTTCAGCGCAATTTTTTTTTTTTTTTAATTTTTGAGAAACATATTCACATGAAGGTCACGAAGAACATGTTAATTGTGTTCAGTTACGTGCGTGGCATAAGCGTTGGTTTAATTTTGGTTTAACGAGGCATGAATAGGTGTTGGATATCAGGTTTCTGAAAAGAATATATTACCATTTGCTCGAACGTTATCGGACTGCCTGTTTTATCAGAGCTGACTCCGCGCTGTCCGTACAGTACAAGATAAAAAACTCGTTTGTTTCCAATTGTACACAGTTTTTGTTTAGATAAAAGACTAGCACATTTAAAGTGACAATTCCTTTTATGCACACTGTCAATACTTCCGTAATTTGCAAATGATTCCGAAGTCCCACAAGCGGTAAATCAGTATTAATGATTTATTTCATTGACGCTCATTGATGTTTGGCTAGTAGTCGTTCATTTCGATGGACAATGCAAAGACTATGGTTCCAGAAATCAAAGTTGTCGCTGCGAGTTTTAATCCCCAAATACCATTTGATTATGAACACACTGCCACATCCGAGTGATGTCAGACGGTGTATTTAAAAATTTAGCATATATTAACATAAATTTTTCCATGCAGCTGCAGTCTAATCTTATGGCTCCTTTAATTTTGTTCTGAAACAAGATTAAATGATTTTTTCTTTACCCGTTTCTTTTGTTTCCTTATCTGAGCTAAGAGACTACCACACAAAAAAAGTTCATTTGTTTTACTCATAGTGCATGTATGATGCCAAAACAGAATCTAAAGGATTCAGTCAATGATAACATTCATTTAAATAAGACATGATAACATACTTTTAGAATCTCTAGTCGACTGACTTTGAAAAATAATCCTGTTTATTTGAAGCCTTTGTCTCTAGAAATTTTTTTTTTTTTTTATGACTGAGACTGTTATCTTGAAGATTTTGCTTATTAATAAAAGTTGTTATTGCATGGTTCTGCAGTACAAAGTTGGTTCTATGCCAGAATGGAAGGAACACAAAAAACCCTCATTCATTTGTCAAAATATCATGAAGAGCGTTTCAAAAGAAAGAGTACAAATATATTAATGAATATTTTCTCAGAATTTGAAAGATTGTATTTATACAAGGGGATTATTTCAAACAACACTCACTCAGGATTTTATTTTTGCAGCAGTGATGTTTCCTATGATGTTATTAAACTTTTAATTGTAGTTAAATGAGATCTTTAGAAATCATGGTTTAACACTTTCTTGTCTTCAAAGGGGATGCAAAGTTCTTTGTCTATTTTGATACATTTTAGGTGGGTTTGCAAAGGTCAAGCTTGCAATACACCAGCAAACAGGAGAGAAGGTATGAAAGAATATTTTTGAAAGCGATTTTTCTTTAGTGTCTAAGACACTAGTTTCTGATCAAGATGGTTTTTCTTACCCAAGTTCCTTGTTAATATACAGGTATGCAAGAAAAAAAATTAACCTGTCAAATGAACGGTGATATTAGGGTTTTCATCAGAAAAGATTATTTGAACTGGTCGAATTGGATTACATGCATAGCAGGCATGGCGGGTTACTCTCTGTGACCAGATTTCCAACATACTGGGACAATTTAGTTATTATTTTAATGAATAACCTCTTTTTAGCCTTGACGGAAGAATTAATTAAAAAATACTTGTTTTCTGTCTGCAATCACAATTCACTGCAGTTACTGGTGCAAAGTGGTCTGACAGCCTGTGGGTTTCTACCGCTTACTGGCTTTGAATGACAACCCTGTCATCTTACAATTCAGCGGGTGACTTGGATTTGACACTTATGCACACGTATCTCCCATGTGCCTCCCATATTGTCTGAGCTATGATGCCATATGTTTGGAATGAAGAAAATTTTGATGGGTTCTTCATTCTCCCAAAAGGAATCTGATCAGTTTTAGCATTCCTTTATGAGCATAGGACCTGGGTGCACAAGGGTGACAAAATTTGTTTGGCTGCACCAAAAATCTTGACAAAATTTAATGCAGTCAAAAATAGTGAAATATTTATTGACCATGCACCAAGTGTTAATCATATAGATCACAACTTGAAGAAAACTTGTGACTTGCATTCTAAAAGGGAGATCAAATATTCTTGATTGATGTTTTGATTTAATGTACGGATTATTAATCTAAAATCTGTCAGATTTCATACCTGAGAAAAACTTTTCCTGCTCCAAGGCAGGAGAAGGGCACCTGTGAAGATTAATAAGGCTTGACCAAACTTGGTAGGAAAAAATCACCTCATGCTCTTTTCTCACAGAACTGATGAAATATTTTTTTCACAAAATGAACAAAAATTTGACTAGTGTGCTCTGCCCATATTTGCCAACAAAAACATGTTAGTGAAAATGCAACATAAGGATTTTGTTTGTAATTTATTGAACAGATTTTCATGAATTGTAAATTGAATTTGTGATAATTATATTATTCAAGGACTCGAAGCTTGTATTGCAAGCAAAATGCAGATAAATATTCAGGGCTGGTTCGATTAAAAACTCAACTAGCATCACAGGCTTGGGCCCACCACATGTAAAAGTTGTTTTAATTAGTTTTGGATTAGCTTGATGGGACTCGGAAGAGCTCCCCTCCTCCTTTTTGAATTTCAAAATATATTCTTCAACATTTGACTTGTACATCTTCATTTATGTGCACCGTAAATGTATGCACTCTGTATGAATTTGTATGTCATCTTACATGTATAAAAGGCTATGATTGCACTTATTACATGTATAAAAGGCTATGATCAACAGGCCAATTCAATACACTGCTCCTATGATAAGTGTAAACAGTGTATCACCATGAATTAGACTTGGTTTCACTGCCATAGTGTAGTTTGCTTACTGTAAACAGAAATTTTTTTATGTTTAATTTAATTACAGTGGATGGACTAGATCTCTCAAGATATATATTTGCAAGTTTGTGTACAAAAGATGTAGTTGTCTTTTGCTAACAATTATTTTAACTGTATAATTTCTTTGATCAGTGCCTGTTACTGACACATATTTTAGTACTTGAAAAAGTGTTTCTTATCATAAACTTATTAAGTATCATCCCTTTTTGTATGCCAGGTTGCAATAAAAGTTATGAACAAGAAAGAACTTGGGGTAAGTACAGTTACGGGATTGTATAAGATTTTTTTATCATCTAAAGGTCATCTTTGATCATATTTTAAAACCTGTATGTACAACAAAGTCCCCAAGAGAAATATCAACTCGTACAAATTGTTCGTGTCTAGAATGGGATGTTACTGGTGGAAAATGACATCCTCTCAAGTTAGCTAAGTTCTTTTCTTTCTTTCTTGAACTTCTTAGACATACTCCTTTCTAGTTTATTTGTGGAATCTTGGGCTTGCTAATTATGTAATTTTTTTAATTTTTTAATAATGAACTAGTGCCCTAGCTGTTCACAGAGGAGTAGCTGCCACAGTTCTAAGCTACATCATTCTAATCCCAGCAGTTTAAGAGTCACTTTAGGTCAAATGGGCCAAGTTCTTAATAATGCACTGTAAATTGACTATTTTTACCTTTAATTTCCTAGTCTGACCTACCAAGAGTCCAGAGGGAAATAGAAGCTTTGAAGAATCTTAGTCATCAACATGTCTGTCAGCTGTACCATGTCATCCAGACAGATGAATACATATTCATGGTCATGGAAGTATGTCCCTTATGTCGATCTATTCCTTATGACTACTCTTTTTCTTTTATTTTGTAGATTATTTTATGATTAGTACAGTATATTATTTCACGGCAGAAAATCCAGAAAAGACAAAAGTGCTCGATTTGTCATTTTTAAGGTGTGGACAGTTAAGTTATGGATCTTAAATCTGTGTGTGAGTTGTGAGAACAGGTTAAAGGAAGTGCTCTCATGGTGTCAAAGTACACCAGTTTGAAAACAAGGGAAAGGACATCCCATTGAAGAATACTTTTTTCAAGTATCCCACTTTTAATAATGTCCCTCAACAATCTAAGCTAGATTATTAAAAATTGATTGCCAGAATTTCTTTGTCATAGTATGCCCCAGGAGGAGAATTGTTTGACTACATTGTAGCAAAGGACAGGCTCAAGGTAAAATTTGATGTAGATTATAGTGCCATGTTTATGGACAAAATTTTCTTTTCAAAAATTCATGCACAAGTAGAAATGCAATTCTTTCAAATATTGGAGATACATGTACCTTGTTTTGCATTAGGCCCCCACCCAATCCCCAAGCCTTTTTTTGTCTCCCTTGAGTTTTTTAGTTGATTCTTGGACCCAGTCTCTTCTCAATCTTTGTGGAAGGTTTAATGAACTGTGCGGGAGATATAATTCCCTATTCAGGAAACACTGACTTGCTAATGATTTCTCAGAGGTGGCAGATGCTTTGTGTAATACAGATTGATAACAGAGTCAATTTAAGATAGTTTTCATATTTTTGGTTTTTCAGCATATTGAGTGTGATGTTTTAGGTGCTTATTTATTATTATCATTTATTATTATTATTATTATATTGTTTTGGGAAGTAAAGTAAGAGTAGTCACATTAGTCATCCAGCATTGTTTACTATTTATTTATTCATTTAAATATTTATTTATCTTTTTTTTTTCTTTTTTTTTTTTTTTTAAGGAGGAAGAAGCCAGAGGGTTTTTCAGACAGATTGTTTCAGCAGTGGCTTACATCCACGACAGAGGATATGCTCATAGAGACCTTAAACCAGTGAGATAATCTTTTGGTTTTTCTATGAATTGAGGAGAGTGGAATTGTATTCATCTCCAAATTGGCGAGCATTCAGACAGTTCTGCTGTACATGTAGTTACAAGCTGTAGGCTTTGATTAAGACATGAAGATTTTCAAATGGTACAAGTTCATAAAATCAGTTGGGTCTGTTTGTAATTTTTTTTTTTTTCTAATGGTGATCTTGTGTGGTTTACTGGTATTCTGACTGAAATGGCAAGTAAAGAACTTATCCAGTATCCAGTAACTTACTGATTTTTGTATCATTATGTCACCCAGGAAAATCTGCTTCTTGATGAGGATCAGGTAATTAATACCTAGTAGTTCCTTGAAATGAAACTTTTTCAGAGTTCTAGAATGAAATACCTATGGGTTTACCCATACAGTAACTTAAAGGTTTTGAATAATTAGAGTTCAGTCTTGGTAACTAAGCTATTTTTTTAAATAATGTGAAGAAGAGAGAAAAAATGTATGCTAATTTATGTTCTAAACTGCTTTGCTAAGTAAATAAAAGGTGGTTTTTGTCTTGTCATGAACATGGGCCAAAGAAAAAATTCGGAGTCCATATAAGGAATCAAACCTCAGGCCTTCAGAATCCCTGCTCTGATGCAGTGCTCGAAATTAGCGGTTGTCCAAGACGACCAAAAGGTTTACGGGGCAACCAATTTTTAGTAGAATTAAGAGGCTGGTTGTCTGGGGAAAAAAACAACAGACAACCCAGCCAAAAATAGAAAATAAATTAACCATAAACAGCACCTGACCTACGTGACAGTTTTGTTTTGTCAATATCTGGTAGTGTGAAGTTAATAATAATTTTCCTCAGCGAAGCGTTTTCCTGTGTTTTGGATATATGTAAAATTTATAAAACATTGCCAGGTACCAAACTGTAAGAGACACAAAAAGTTTCTTGTCTAGAGGCGATCAAGATCAAAGACGCCATTTTGAATATGCCACAACTTAAACCCCATCCTCGGAAACCTAGGGGTTGAGTCGATTTCAAGTTAGGGCATGAAGAGCCCCTGGGGACATTGTCTTACAAGACTAGTTCCAAACGGTTGCAGTTGTTCTGCCATCTGATTGGTGCCAGAAAATCTATGTGTTTTTCTGCCCAATCAGAGTGAAGTGCACTTTAGAGTCCTTTCGTGTGTTTTAACACGGACAGATACTAGTAGATCAGTTGCTCGCTATGTTTGTTTGGACCCTGCGACGGAGATTTGCTTGAGGTGAAAAGTTTCAGTCTCAGCACACAATGTAAGAGAAATCGATCAGATTGTCCGCGAAAATCTTACCAGAAATTATACTGAATACTTTCGCAGGTATGACTAGAAAACGTATTTTAAAGTTTGCGAGGTTTGTATACAACACGATGGTTGCAGTCATTGATATGTCGCTTTAAACGTTAAACGAGATTTAAGCTTAAATCTTTCTAGATTTTTTGCATAATTTGCTGTGACTGAAACTTTGCCAATCCCGTGAAGTTATTTCGTCGCACGGGCCACGCAGGTATGTCGAGCAACTGGTACTTGCGCAACTTTCTGTGCGTGCCAAAATCTAATCTCATCTTCGCTTGAAAAAAAAGAAAAGCTAAGCGTGGAAACTTTTGCTTATTAGATGTGGGTAGATGACNCTCTGAGCCACAGAGCCTCTGTGGTGAGCAAGGCCCATTACAAAGTTCATAATTATATGACGTAAAATCTGTTTACAAGTACGCTTATATGCACAAACCAAACAAGTTATGTTGTGCACTTTGTTAAGAAACATGAAGTTCTTTATCTATGTTATCATTTTTCTTTGTGCAGAATATCAAGCTTATTGACTTTGGTTTAGTTGCTAAACCAAGAGGTGGAATGGCTGATCATTTAGACACATGCTGTGGCTCCCCAGCGTATGCTGCTCCTGGTTAGTGGTTGTACATGATTATAAAAAATATAGTGCACTTGAGAGGTTGGTTGATGAGGCTCAATAAAGAATGCTTGTAATAACATCACAATATTATAACTGAAATTGTATCTTTTTAAATCATTTGGTAACCCTTCTTTGCAGAACTAATTTCTGGCTTTCCATATCATGGAAATGAGGCAAGAGCTGTTTTTTTTTTGTTTTTGTTTTTGTTTTTGTATTTTTGTTTTGTTATTATAATAGTGCATTTTCCTCACTCATCTGGGATGGTTTGATTAATTTTTCTTTTGTTTTCCCCAGGTTGACCTGTGGAGTATGGGAGTGTTATTGTACGCCCTCCTTTGTGGCTTCTTGCCATTTGATGATGATAATACTTTTAAGCTGTACAAGCTCATTCAGGTTTGGAAATTGTGGTCATTATTTTTGTACTCAACTAAAGTTGTTTATGTTTGATTATTTTCTTACTGAATATACTGTTAGACACATTATAACTTTGTTTGTGTTTAAAGTATGTATTTTAATTGATTTTTCAGAAAGGAGAGTATGAAGTCCCAGACTGGCTTTCACCAGGTAGTTAAGTTGGCACTTATGATTTGCAATTTCTTCTCTTTTTCACTTTACTTTATCATGACTTAACAGGGTTGTACACAACTAATGGTAGCCCACTCACCACAGACTAGTAGACATTCAGTTTTGGCTAGTGGTTTTGGATTTCCACCGGCCCGTTTGGCTAGTTAACAAACTGAAACTGTCATAACATCCAAGATATCACTAGCCACTTAGTTGAAAAGTTAGTGTTGAGCTAGATTATTTATTTGATGATGGAATTTCCAAAGGTACTAGCCAGGGCCTTTGGAGTCTAAATCAGTTGGTTATCACACGTATGTGTTACGAATTGGACACGTGCATCATAGCAGTGCAATTGCTGGTATAGTTACAGACTAGATTAGACTCAACATGGTCCTGTTACCATTTAGAATCACAAACATACATACACATGTGTGTACATGCTGTTTTTGTCACAACACAAATCAGACAAGGGATAAACTTCTGTTTGGCTTTTTAATGGAAATAAGAAGTGACAGACAGCTTTTTTCAAATCCTTTGGAAATACACTTTACATTGCTACAAAGGGACTATGGAGGCAAGTTTCCAATGCTATAAGTTCCACCGGTCAGTGTACTAATAAAGTTGATGAACTCAAAAGAAAATAGAAGAAAAATAGGGAAAAAAGATAACTGGATACAGGGTTCGTACAGTGTTCTTCTGAACAAGTTCCAGGTTCGAAGCAAAACAATTCACAACTTTAACTCATTTAATTTACCGAAAATAACAAGCTACATTGATCAGTAAGACAAAACAACATGGCGGTCATCTGACCTCATGGTCATCTGACCTCATGGTCAAACTAGTTCCCAGTCCTTCTAAACATACGGGTCCTGGAAAACCTGGAGAGTTGCAGGAAGAGACCACTGTAACACGTCTTGGAAAGTCCTGGGCCGGGTTGTTCAAAGGTGGGTTAAGATAACCCAGGGTTACCGTGAAATTTAATTGAAGATCTGAAAGCTTTAAAATTAATTTCACTTTAATTCCATTTGTTTACAATTTGGTGATTGAATGCTCTAAGAAGAATTGGGAAAATTAT